ATATTTAAGCACAGACAAACATAGACGCAGGCAAGCACACACACACACACACACACACACACACACACACGCAGCACACGCACACACACACACACACACACACACACACACGAATATATATATATATATATATATATATATATATATATATATATATATATATATATATATATTGTATATATTTGTATATATATATATATATATATATATATATTTAAACACAGACAAACATAGACGCACGCAAGCACCCACACACGCACACACACACACACACACACACACACACACGCATATATATATATATATATATATATATATATACATATACATATGCATATTTTGAAGTGCATATAGGTACATTGTAAATCTTATTTTGTGTGTATTCGCAAAATATGATTTCGTATAAACCTCCTGTTTCATATTTCAGCATTTCCTTGTTATTTTAGCTGTATAACTACATGACAGGGCTATAACAGTCTGAGTGCGTCTCCATTCGAATTTGTCGCAGTGTTTTTAGGGCTTTAGGGTTGAGAGTGATCTTTATATATTCTCAGGGTGTCCGATATCGCCCTGATATTAGATTTTGGACCTTCGCAGTGCCATTCAAATGTATTTAACATTTTAAAGTACTACACATTTAAAATGTACTACACATTAAAATGTACTTAACATTAAAATGTACTTAACATTTAAATGTACTTAACATTTAAATGTACTTCACATTAAAATGTACTTAACATTAAAATGTACCTAACATTTAAATGTACTTAACATTTAAATGTACTTAACATTTAAATGTACTTAACATTAAAATGTACTTATCATTAAAATGTACTGCACATTAAAATGTACTTTACATTCAAATATACTATACATTCAAATGTACTATCTCATACTCTCTCTCCTGCCCTTTGGACGGTGGCAGGTGTTGTGAGTGAGTTGTGGACGTACCCTGTCAAGTCGTGTAAGGGCATCACTGTGCCTGAGGTGGCGTTGGATGCCTTTGGTGTTGTGCATGACCGTGCGTTGATGCTGGTAGACACCAATGGCATGTTCATCTCTCAGAGAATCAAACCCAAAATGGCTGTGATCTCCGCTACAAGGTGTGCCCTACCATGAGTGTGTTATGTTAATTCCATGTGAGTGTGTTATGTTAATACCATGTGAGTGTGTTATGTTAATTCCATGTAAGTGTGTTATGTTAGTACCATGTGAGTGTGTTATGTTAATTCCATGCGAGTGTCTTGTGTTAATCCCATGTGAGTGTCGTATGTACTTATGCAATCAAGTAAAATAGTTTGCAGAGTTGCTGCAGAGTCGGTTGGTGCGTCTTTCAGACTTGAGTTGGGCAGATTTGTAGGCACGCTTATCAGTACTACAGATACCTCTATTAGATGAATCAACTGATAGTTTACCTACATTAGATGAACCAAGTGATCGTTTACCTACATTAGATGAGCCAAGTGATCGTTTACCTACATTGGGTGAACCAACTGATCATCTACCTACATTAGATGAAGCAACTGATCGTCTACCTACATTGGGTGAACCAACTGATCGTCTACCTACATTAGATGAACCAACTGATCGTTTACCTACATTGGGTGAACCAACTGATCATCTACCTACATTGGGTGTACCAACTGATCGTCTACCTACATTAGATGAACCAACCGATCTCCTTGCCCGTGCGTACACCCCCCCACCCCCTACCTCTACTACCAAACAGAAACGGAAACGAGCTGATACTCTCCTCGCCACTACACAACGGTGCCGATCTGGTGGTGCAGATACCTACCGACGCTACAACGACACAGACCATCACAGTAGACATATGGGACGATAAAGGTACTGTGTACTGTACTTACTGTCTTCTTATTGTGGCTTAGGAATGCTTTGTCAGGCCCTCTACTTCGTCGCAGTTCAGTGTCTGGGATCACCGGGGAAGCTTTGTATTCCTGTGGAATGCAGAATGATGTGCTTTATTATATCTATGTGAAATCTTTTGAAATGCAGAGTGGTGTGTTGGCTCGTGTATGTGCTACACATGTAATATACCTACAAGCAAGCAAGCAACTCTTGTACAGACACGCACATAAACCCCATTTGAACAATAGCATGTACACGTGTACTATACCTACAAGTAAGCAAACAACTCTTGTACAGATACACACATAAGCCCCCATTTTAACAATGTCATGTACACGTATAATATACCTACAAGCAAGCAAGCAACTCGTGAACTGTCATTAATATAAAAACCGTTCTGACTACAAGTCTTTGGGTTATATAGTAGCAGCCTTATCTGCTCAGATCTATGCCTGTGTACACATACGCTCTTGTGCAACACACCTTATTGAAATGCCATCTGCATTTATAGATGCGAGTCATGAGCATGGAGTACTATTTATAGATGCGAGTCATTTCTATTTATAGATGCGAGTCATTTCTATTTATAGATGCGAGTCATTTCTATTTATAGATGCGCGTCATGAGCACGTAGAAGTCACTATTTTTATTCATAGACGTGAGTTTTTTCTATTTATAGATGCGAGTCATGATCATGTCGAACTATTTATAGATGTGAGTCATGAGCATGTAGAAGTCACTATTTTGATTTATAGATGCGAGTCGTTTCTATTTATAGGTGCGAGTCATGAGCACGTAGAAGCCACTATTTCTTTTTACAGATGCGAGTCATTTCTATTTATAGATGCGAGTCATGAGCATGTAGAAGTCACTATTTTTATTTATAGATACGATTCGTTTCTATTTATAGATGCGAGTCATGTGCACGTAGTCGTCATTATTTCTATTTATAGATACGAGTAATAAGCAGGTAGTAGTCATTATTTCTATTTATAGATGCGAGTCATTTCTATCTACAAATGCGAGTTATGAGCACGTAGAAGTCACTACGTCTGTGTCTCGTTTTCTTACGTTTTCTGTTCTTAAATTTAAATCTGTCTGGCGGAACAGTTGAGGCGCTGATTGTAGCCGGCGCAGAGGAATGGCTGAAGGGAGCGCTGGGCACAGATGCGAGGTAGGCGTATGACGGTGGTTGCTATATGGTGTGAAGTACTTCATTTAACGTTAGGAACAGATGCGAGGTAGGCGTATGACGGTAGTTGCTATATGGTGTGAAGTACTTAATTTAACATTAGGAACAGATGCGAGGTAGGCGTATGACGGTGGTTGCTATATGGTGTGAAGTGCTTCATTTAACATCAGGAACAGATGCGAAGTAGGCGTATGACGGTCGTTACTATATGGTGTGAAGTACTTAATTTATCATTAGGAACAGATGCGAGGTAGGCGTATGACGGTGGTTGCTATATGGTGTGAAGTGCTTCATCTAACATTAGGAACAGATGCGAGGTAGGCGTATGACGGTGGTTGCTATATGATGTGAAGTGCTTCATTTAACATTAGGAACAGATGCGAGGCATACGCATGACTGTCGCAAGGTTACTAACATACGCTACACGTGCACAGATTACTAACACACACTACACATACACAGGTTACTAACACACACTACACATGCATAGGTTAGTGACCATCCAGCCAGAGTCCTCCCACAGTCGGCCGGTGGACCCCAAACGCAATCCGTACGGGAAAGCTCAGCACGTCGCATTCCAAGATGGATTCCCACAGCTGGTATGAGAAGTGTCCGTTTAAACGGAATGAAACGGAATGAAGTGGTAGTCGTCCTGTTCACCCCTTTGGCGGGCTAATTGTTCTTTTTAACGGATTGGATTGTTAGTTGTATGGCTCAGGCTGTCTGTAGTAGAAGACACGCTATCGCCCTCTTGCTTGACCATAAATGCTGATATGCTAGTCCTGTTGCTGACTCCGTTTGAAGTGTTAGTTATACTCTTAAACCGTTTGAAGTGTTAGTTATACTCTTCAACCGTTTGAAGTGTTAAATGCATTTTTAAACCGTTTGAAGTGTTAGTTATACTCTTAAACCGTTTGAAGTGTTAAATGCATTTTTAAACCGTTTGAAGTGGTAGTTGCACTTTTAAACCGTTTGAAATGTTATTTACACTGTTTAACCGTTTGAAGTGTTGGTTGCACTTTTTAACCGTTTGAAGTGTTAGTTATACTTTTAAACCGTTTGAAATGTTATTTACACTGTTTAACCGTTTGAAGTGTTAGTTGCACTTTTTAACCGTTTGAAGTGTTAGTTATACTTTTAAACCGTTTGAAATGTTATTTACACTGTTTAACCGTTTGAAGTGTTAGTTGCACTTTTTAACCGTTTGAAGTGTTAGTTATACTTTTAAACCGTTTGAAATGTTAGTTGCACTTTTAAACCGTTTGGAGTGTTAGTTGCACTTTTAAATCGTTTGAAGTGTTAGTTGCACTTTTAAATCGTTTGGAGTGTTAGTTGCACTTTTAAACCGTTTGAAGTGTTAGTTGTACTGCTAAGCCTGGTCTGTAATAGAGTACACCTCATGACTCATCGGTTGTTCGTGTATCCAGGTTATTACAGATACTGCAGTACCTCATTTGAATGAGTTACTGGCGGCTAAAGGCGTCACTCAGATGGCTGATATCCGTCGCTTCAGACCAAACATTGTGGTGAAAGGCTTCAATGCACACGAGGAGGATGAGTGGAAGACCATCAAAATTGGCAATGTCGTAAGTGACTGCGATATATATATATACATACATACATACATACATACATACATACATACATACATACATACATACTTACATACATACATATATATATATATATATATATATATGCGCACGCCCGCACGT